CTGGATCCATACCTCATCAGATCCATTAGTTAAGATCTAACAAAAGAACCTCATACTTGAAAATAGAATCACAGTTTTGATGATACAGGCAATACAGCAATCTAAACACACAAGACGGTAAAATAGATAAAAGCATGATTCTGGAAGTTTCGGTCCAAAAATCGTCAAAAATTGAACATCACCTCAAATGGATGATGAAATTAAAAGTAATTGCCGCTTGTGCTGATTTTATGTACACAAAAATGGCAAAGAGAACAAACATCTTTCCTCCATAGCTGAAAGGATATTTACAGTACGGATGTACATCATGATAAATAAAACAGAGTGAAATATTTAGACATCCCCACAGCCCTGCATGTCTACCAGCACAGACAGAGACAATTGATTTTGAGCTTTAAGATAAAGACGGTTGACAGAGTAGGAAACAAGGACAGACCAAGGAAAAGAGCTCAAAGTGGGACTCAAACCCAGGCCCTCATGTTTAGGACCACTAGTCCAAACAAGTATAGAGTTATACAAAGTGTGTTCCTATGGGTCGTACGCAAGATTAAATAGGTCATGACTTTAGAGACTGAGCCTTTTGACTAGGGCCTTCTGAAGACCTAAGCAGCAGTTTTGAACGATTCGAAATTCTCCTTCTCAGACATTATTTCTGTTTCCATCACTTGACACCTTTAACATAAATGAAAACACTCCAGGTCAAGTACAAGCTGAGAGAATATTTGTAACTGGTCCAAGAGAAAGAGCTGGGGGGGTCACTGGCAGACGAGCACAATGTTTGAATTAGTGTTTCCTGCCAAAAACGTTGCTAGGATACGCTTTCAGAAATGGTGATACTGTTAAAAATAGATTATGCAATTTCCAAAAATGTGAACCTCCTGGGGCAAACGCACCCCTAGTGGTGAGGAGAGGGTTTTGCCACAAGTTGAGGAAGCTTGAGCAGCCAGAGAGGGGTTTTTAATAATCTAAAATTCTGACCAATGAGCCGACAGCTCACATATAAGTGACAGTATAAGTGATCTCGCTTCCCCTCAAACATCTGTCCTCAGCAGTATTATTTTTATGCAGTACCTGCTGGAAGTACATCAAAGGCTCCCTGTGTTATTGTTTCGTATGTCTATTGTGCCGGCATTCACAGCTTCCTCAGCTTCACCATGGTAACAGGGATCAGAGGGCAAAGGTCAAGCAAAGCGTTGGTAGAGGTGTCGTTCAGCGAGGGCACGGTGGGGGCGGAAAAACCTCCACATAGGCCTTTTTCCATACACTGAGCACGCTCATCATCTCCTGTCCTCCAGCAGCTCGCTGCAAGGTTAGTGAGAGTCAATAAGCCTTCCGCAAAGGTTAAGGAGGCCTATAAGAAAGGTATTATGCAAACAGCCATCTCTCCAGTTTCTGCACAACCACAAATAGAGTGGCATAACCATCTTTGTTCGTTCTCCATCTGGAAATGAATCACAGAAAGGTGCTCTGTTTTCCTGCATGACTGCCTTATGAATTCAATATGAGACATCCATACACTTCAACACAGAGTACTTAGTGAACACAGAAAGTCAAATACAGCAAATCAAACGGCAAAACTGGAAGTCGACTGCAGACAGCAATCCCTGTTAGTTTACCCTATTAAAGTAAGCTTTGCATTGTTTATAAGGGAGCTGATGGAGTCCTTTATGAACAATAAAACCCTGAACATGGGCCACTAAAGCAGTCACAGATGGTTTTAGTTTTAAATTACATCATACAGGTTACTAGTTGCATGACAAGAAATTGGGAACTTGGGCTGATTTTGTGTGATTATATTTGGAGATTGCAAAATGATGTACTAAATTTGTGCTAAAGAGCTAATTTGGAAAAAAAACAAAACAAAACATGGCAACATGGGATGCATCTCTTGGCACTCACCATGTGGGAAGACAGATAACACTGTAAAAATACAAATAAAGTCTGCTTTGGGGTCAGTCAAGGTCAACTAATGGCTCAACCCACTGAAGACCTTTAGCCAAGAGACCAGGGATTTATATGAAAAAGGATGTGTTTGCTAATCTTGTAAACAAACCATCAAACTCCACTAATAGATTCTGCAAATAATGTTCATGAATGTAAAATCTGGTCTAAAATGGGATGGTTTTTGGAATTAGAAGTGTCTTGTGGTAGATTTAGGGCTCAATTCTGCACCCCTTATTTACAAAAATAGCACCATAAGCTTTGGACAGTGTAATCACACCAACCCGTCAGTAGTTTTTACAGCCTTTTACCTCGAAAAGGATGTGAAGTAACACTTTCAGACTCAGACGTTACCTTATAGAAGTGGAGTCAAAAGTTCAAGAAAACAACAAACAAGAGAGACTGAGAAGATTTGCTCATGCATCAGTAAAGAAGAAGACAAAACTGGAGCTAGTGTTTAACACCATTTAAAGGCTTCATTATATATGGTATAGATGATTCTACTGATTACTGATGTACACATTCTATGGTTTAAACTATGCCCCCACATGGGCGATACCACAACCAGCACAGAAAACAAGAGCTGGAGGCAGGAACACACGTTGGTTGGGCTTAGTGCGATCATGCTACCTTTCTATTTTCAGGGCCAAAAATAAAATTGGCATCCAAGATATTTGTGGACAACGTACCAAAAATGCTCTCATTTAAACCAAGGAAAGGCAAGCACAAGGCTGAAGCGACATGTTACTCTAAACAAGATAGAAATAATGCAATCACACAGATGTTTACGTCTAAATCTATAGGTTCTAATACAATCACAATCTGTACAACCTGCAAGGTCAATGGCAGCATGTTGCAAAACCCCCAGTTATGATGTAATCCAGAATAAATTGGTGGTTATATGACCATGACTTACTTTGTCTTTGTCTCACAAGGTGATATCATGAAGTGGAGCTGGCACACTGCTATTAGTTTTGAACCCAGACTCAATTTTACTTTCAATTTTGACAAACTCAAAACAATAATAAGTGCACAGAACAAGAAGTTTTGACATGAAGTCCTTAACCGGTAATCATGTGGTACACCGGTAGCCAGGAGCATATATCATCGTTCAACAACAGCCAATTGAAAGACCGATTGGGAAAATAACAATCCTGACCCCATGGACCCCAAACAAACCCCATGATTTGTCCTCAAAATTCAATCTGGTACTTTTTTTATAAACATAAGCAAACAGGAAGTTCTTTTTAAATATGTAAAAGAGAGGACAATAAGAGACCGGTCAGTCACAAAACCTCTGAGTAATCTCTGTGTAGATGCTTTATCGTGCTTTTCTTCAGCACTGATGAGTCTGCAGAACTTCAGAAACTCTAAGCCCCTGTATGAGAAGTTATTGACTAAGAACTTGGACGTAATCACTAAAAGTACTTGATGCTCCAAGGAAGCACATCCTAACTTCTCAAACTCAAACAACCTTGGCTGCTGGGTTATTTGCACAAACAGAGAGAAGGACAAACATGGTAATGTCCCCCATCTGAGATTTACTGTCCTGTAAATGTCAGAGGATTAATTAGCACATTTTTAAGACTGTAAGTCATACTCATTACTAACACGCTGATGAGTCATGACAAACCCAGACTGACAAAAACTCCATCAACCTTTTATCCCCTGATCTCACCATCAATAATTCAACTTTAAAACATCCAAATATTCCCGCTGTCTTACAAGCTGATCCAAACATTTCACCTGCTCGACACTTAGCTCAGAGAGAGCACCTTGCGAGTCAGGAAACAGTTTACAAAGAAGGTGAAAAATACAGTAATCTGACACAAACACATTGTGATGTTTCATTTGTTTGTTATCAAACTTTTTTTTTGCTGTTTTCTGCCAGATACAAGTCCAAGTGTTCTCTTGGATACGCCAGACGTCAATACAACATGATAATCCTGCCCTCTCTGGGGTCCTATCTGTGGGGAAAAAATGCTTTGGTAGCTGATTTTCTTAAAGGGGAAACATAAAAAGTTTCCCCTGGATGCTCTTTCAGTGGATTTAATGTAAAAATGTGCCCTCTAAATGCACTTCCTATACATGAAACAAAAAGTACCCTCTGAATGCTTAATAATAGTAACCCCTGGATGTCCTATAAATCTATTAAGTGTATAAAAGTGACGTTTCTTTGGATATTCTATCCTTAGTACCATCTAGATGCACTTCCAGGATATATCATGTTATAAAATGACCCCTGGATCCCCTCAGTATATAAAATATTACTGCAGAATACATATAAAAAGGGCCCAGGATGCCCTGCCAGCCCTCTAGCTTATGAAATATTGCTCAAAAAGTGCCCTTTGGATGCTCTTTAGTATAAAGAGGGTGAAATAGCCCTCCACCTGAATGCATTTCCAACATACAGAGATATTTTCAAAGTGCTCTCTGGATACCCTGATAATGGATAAAGCCTTAAGAAGCACCCTCTTAATGGGAAAAAAAAACAAAAACATAAGGTGCCCTTTTGTAAACCTATACTCATGCAAGATTTGAAGGCCAAGTTTGATACTCTTTCTTTTTTAGATTTGGTGTTAAATAAATGTTGAAAGACAAACAGGTGTAGAATGCCTTGGCCAGATTGAGTCTGACTGAGGTGAATATATGCAAGAGACAATAAACTCCCAATAATGTTATCCTTATACTTATGTTAATAAGTTCATCAGTCTAGAGAAAATTCTATTTAGTTTTATTTCAGCTGGGCTAATGCGTTTACATGTATTTTAAAAGTTTAGTTTCAGTTTATTCAGTTTATTTGTTTTTGAAAAAACATGTAAACAAACTGATTTTATGTCCTATTTGTCATTCAGAATCATTAGCTTAGAAACCAACATCCTCAAACACACTCTGCCCGATACAGCCATGGCACAAAGCAACTTGCAAACTTGGATTTCTTAAAAATGAACCAGTTTTGTGTGCGACTCAGTCAGATTTAGACGGAAAAGCTCGGTGATTCTATTGAATCTCCTTTAACAGCTTGTAATACAAAGATCTGAGTTTCTGCAAAGATCAACATGTTCTGCAGCTGCAGTGACACTGGAGGTAATCCAGGGAAACTTTGAGCGAAGAAGCTTTTTCTGGTCTCCATATGTCAGCGGTGGAATTATGTGTACCGAAATTAGAGTGCAAATTTAAATGAAACCTCTGAGCAAGTTCTGTGGGTTCTTGGCAGTGAGGGGGGAACACAACGGGATCCTCGCACATATGCTGCACACATCCTGAAGAAGCTCAGCAGGCTGCCAACACCAAAGTGTTCATCACTCTCCTCCCACTCCTTTTCATAGCACAGAAAAGGGAAAAAGTCCCCAAAGTGGCGAGCAAGCCCAACCAATCGGTGACGGGGATCAAAAAACAGACGTTCAAGGAGAATGAAATGCCCCCATTGATTGGCCGTGGAGCTTTGGTCTCCCCTGCAAAGTCCTCCAATCGATACCGGTGAGATAAGCAGCCGTCAGCCACTGATATTGGTGATGTATAGCCACCATTGCTGCACGTCAGCGGATGACTCTTCGCTGTCTTGGTTAACGCTCACAAGAGTGACTCGAGTCAACAGGTCAAGGGCAACACCAGACACACCAACCGACACCTCCATTCACTCATCAATGGCATCAAACCTGCAGCTGATAAACCAGACTGCCTTTCATCATCCCTGTTTGTCATCCCCTACATGATATGACCCTCCTCTTTTGATTGGCCGACATCCCACCTGTGCGCTCTCTAATCAGCCGGGGTTAAAGCTGTGCAAGCAGGAACAAGGCGAGCAGGATAAATTACCTGAAAAAGAGCCGCTCTTATCGCTCTGTTTGTTTTTCAAAAGACAATGAAATAAATAAATGGAGGAAAAAAAGGGTTGAGAGAAAATGAAATGATGGCGTGGCGGTGTTTTGTGAAATTGTGCTGTCAAACGTTTCTCCTTTCTAATTTCCTGGAGCGCAGATGATGGAGCATGTGTGCTGACAGCTGAATCTGATAAAAAACGCAGGAAAAAGACTTCTCTCTTTCCAAGCAACGAGCGTTTTTAAACAGCATTCATAAATATAATAATAATAAAACAATTAGGCAGAGGAAAATGACAACTGACAGATAACATGTCCTTGTGCGCTCTGTACATTTTTTTCACTGTGGTCATTTATTCAAGTGTCAGAGCTGATGGACTGAAAAGAAAACACTCAAGTGAGGCACAAAAGAAGAGTCGGATGTTTGTTTTACGGAGTATTTTATGGAGATAGGTAAAAAATACGGCTGGACAAAATATTCTTCAACCAATATAGAGACTAATTGCACATTTTAGCTTGATTAGAATAAAGGGATGATTGTTTTTGTTCACTTATATGCCTTTAAAGTTCTTTAACAAAGTTTATGCTGTAAGTATCCTCAAAAAAAAGCAGGGAAGTACAATTAGTACCACTTACGTCAAATATCTCTGGAAACATTCAATATGTTGTTATGAGAACAAAGACTCATCTTCTAGTTTAAAAAGATGAGGTTTTAAATCTCTAAGACTTTAAACTGTCTATAAACAATGTTATTATTTTCACTTTTTCATTGTAAATACATATCGGTTTTGCTAACATGTCTCTATTTTGGAAGTGACGATGACTTTGAGGAAGATTATCAGCCAATCAGATACTCCCTTATATTCTGAGCTGGTTTTCTAGACCGTAGCATCCAATCAGGATGTAGCTAAAGATCAACATGCAAGGAGAAAGTGATCTGCCAGTTTTGAAAGTAAAAAATAGTCCAAAATGATGAAATTGGCACAGACATTTGAGCACGGTAAAGAAGAAATGTGGGAAACGGCTCTGATCTGGAACTGCGGCGAATTTCGTGGTGGATTACGGACAGCGGGAATCGAGAGAATTAACAAGAACCTGCGGATTCGCGTGCAATCGCCTGATAACAAGTTGTCTCTATAAAGACAGCCAGATAACCATATAAGCAGTAGATTGTGTACTTCCAGAAGAGGAAATCCACTTCTAGACTTCTAGAATCAGCATCTCCTCATCTGTGGTGTCATCCGGGTGAAATGCTGTCTAAAAACATCTTACTTGTTCGTCTCCGCCTGTTTGTATGATGTGAAATGCGACCTGCCTGAAATACAGTGTTTTATTTTGAAAAGGAGCTGGTTGTTTTATTTTATGTCTGTACTCGACTTCCTTTCCAGCACAGACTACTCTGTGCTGAATTTATCTGGCATGCTGCGGCGTCTGAAAAAATAGAACTCCACTGATCTGCAGCAGAACGGAAAGAAGCCGGTAGAAACTGACACATAAACTTGAATGGTTCTGATCAGCTGCTATCGGCGAGCACAGCCTTTTAGTAGCCGTTCCGGATGCGGAGGAAATTGGGGGTTAGGGTATTTTGCTGTTTTGTGCTTTTGATGATAAGATATCAAATCCAATTGAAGTTAGATTAAGCATTGTTGCTTTCAGAGAAAAAAAATAAAAAAGACGACTTAGAATAACATTTGTGAACCTACAATAAAAATCCTCACCATCATCATTAAAATCATATTGAATAAACAGAGTAAATGAAAATGGTTTTAATGTAGCTAAACTATTTTCTTATATTGCTTTGGCCTAGTTTTCTACATTTCATTACATGGTACAAGCTTGATTCATGAGGCTCAGCTCAGGTCCAAAATGTGGAACCTGGAGAATCTGAAATCTGGAAAAATCACAACCCTGGTAAAAACATGACTCAAAAAGAAAGAAAAAAATTAACATGGGCAGTACTCCAAAGCTGAAATCATCTCCAGACAAAATCAGATTTTTTAGATGAATTGACTTTTCAGTATCAGCTGAAACTGCTTCTCTGTTTGGGAACATCTAAAGGTCTGGAAGCAACAATCCCCCGACTGTGTCTGTGTCTGAGCATTTGATGGGACCGTCCCGGCACAACTGTCACTTCGCTCCCCTGTTACAGGTGCTCCACACCGGGGAGCTGGCAGCTCTGACGGACGCCTCCTCCTAGGGATTTATGGGAAATGACAGCTCCTGCTAAATAAAGCCGGAGTGGTCGGGGAAGGGAGAGAAGACGGAAGTTCCAAACCTCGACTGCAGAGGCTGACACGAGCAGAGATTTATTTCCCCTGCTCTGCCAATTTAGGTGGAAATGTGCTATTCACACTGTTAGGCCTAAATAGAGAGAGAGAGAGAGAGAACCGGCTTTAATCTACTTCCTCTGTTTGGGGTAATGGTCTACGAGGTTTTTCTGCCAGTGGAAATCACATTTCTTACATGGCTGCCTCTTGATGAATTATTTCACATTTCACTTACTTACCTTTTTAAAAGTTAATCTACATCAATAACGTTAAAGGAAATTTCCACAGCTACAAATGAACACTTCCTCTTTTTCAAACTCAAAAGGTGTGGAGCTACTTTAGAAAAAAAAAAAAAAAAGTCCATTTCAAACTTCATCATTTAACCATTGGACAGCATGTCTGAATGCACACGGGCCCCCGCCGGCGTTCGGCGTTGATTTTCTACATATTTAAATATGGACCATCTTTAATTGAGCAGAAACGGCGGTGGAGAACAGTGCTGAACTAATACTGAGGCTGAAATATCATTACGCTGATGGAAGCCCGGGCTCCCTGACTTTTATTGGCAGCTCCAGAGCTAAATGTGCGGTTCAATTCAGAGGCGGCCATAGCTGCGGAGGCAAAGTAATCGACTTTGGGACAAAATGGTGTGGAAAATGACGTGTAGGCCCTCGCCTAAAGCCAACCAGAGATCCGTCAGTCAGGTGCACACCAACATTGGCATTTTCACAAATGTGATTTAGTCTACAGTGGTGGAGAGCCGATGTGCTGGACCAGTGCTTCTGGTGGAGGAAAGTACTATTTCAAGCCATGCAATCTGCTGCTCCTGCTGCTGAAAATGTCTCAGCATCGACTTCACTTTGGCTCTGTCATGTTAACATAAAACAGTGTTTTACATGTGAACCCCTGCAGCATATCAGGGCAGATTCAGGTCGAAGTACCCTGAACCTTGTGAGCATTTGACTCTGAATTTTAAAAACCTGATTCGAGCCAGCCTGTGGAAAAAAAAAAAAAGAGTCCTGCCTTTGTTTTGAGATGAGCTCAAGATGCACTGCTGCTCCAACACTACTGTGCAGAGTATTTTTGGCTCAGTGCTGCCAAAGTTTGGACACAGCCATTTATAATTCTCTCACAAGCAAAGCAGCTTGCTTCTTTTTCCAAAACAGACTCCATGGGATGCAGACGGGTCCATGCTGTCATGTGGTCTGCTTGCAGAATCACATTATTTTTTTTAACCAGCTCAGGCTTTTAGCCTCCACCAGAAAACCAAACATTAATCAACACAATACGACACAATTAAACAGCAATTATGTAAAAGACCTTTTCTCTGCTTTGGGAGTGTCTTGACTCTTACATCAGCTCCTGAAGCTCACATTCACAGTGTGTCTGCGCGAAGCTGCGAGCCTGGAGGAGCAACAGTCACACCCACACACTTGTGCACACACACACCAATACACTTGCAGAGGCACGGAGCAGATCAAGTGTGCCTGGAGAGCTCTATAGAGAGGCCAGTTTTCCTCATTAGACCGCGTGTGCAGCACTCTCCAAAAAACCTCTCTCTCTAATCACTGTCACCAGACCTCGGCTGAAAAACAGATAATTAATGTTGGGCGCTGCCTCAATCGGCTCCCATGCTAAACAGCTCTGTGTACATATGTGCACGCATGTGTGTGGGCGTCTGCATGTTTGTCTATTTGGAGTCTGTCGATGTAGGAGGCCCCCCCAGGGGAGCGTGGATGCTCAAGCCATCCACAACAACGATTTCTCTCAGGCTCACATAAGCTCTCAGAAGAACAATTGCAGAGCAGATAATGCTCAAATTTACACAAGAAATATCCCGCTGCAGCACAAAAGATGTCTGCTGCCGCTCATTCGCGGCATCTCCATCTTTCAGTTGTAGGTTTTGTAGCGTCGCGCCCCTTTTCTGCTCCAGGACTGCCCTTTTATTTCCCTTCACCCCATTTATTAAATGGAATGGACTTCTTAATCGTGTGCTTTTCCGGGCAGATTTATTTATGTTCCCTTTTTCCTTCCTAAAGGCAGTTATTAATATCATAAATATTTGATGATACTTTGCATGACCCTGCAGAGAATGACACAGAGAGGTAATGAAGGTTAACGCTGGGGGTAGAGGCTGATTAAATAGCGACTGAGCGGCCAAAGCCCACCCAGGGCTGCTATAAACTTTCTAATAAAACAGACTGAATAAACACTTTCACAGCACAATTTAGGTACAGGACAACTTTAACAAGGTAATTCACAAACACACTCCTCCATTCACCCCGAGTGATGTCCAATCATGTAAACAGTTTGGGTTTTATCTGCAAAGGTTTCCAGATAAATGTCCTGCTGCACTTTTTCTACAACAGTGGATATGAGTGAAATTTATCTGCATT